CCCAGGATAAGGAAGGTAGACCTATCCCTCAAGCGTTATCCCAGGATAAGGAAGGTAGACCTATCCCTCAAGCGTTATCCCAGGATAACGAAGGTAGACCTATCCCTCAAGCTTACCCCAGGATAACGAAGGTAGACCTATCCCTCAAGCGTTATCCCGGGATAAGGAAGGTAGACCTATCCCTCAGGCGTTATTCCGGGATAACCCTTGCAGGACGCTTGAACTTTGCTGCACTCGGGGAGTTCATGTTACCGGGACGACTCTCCCCAGACTGCTCAGGCGGGGCTCTTGTGGAGAAGCTGCGCACAGGGGCCCTGCCCTGGTGGAGAAGGGGAGTTCTGAGGGGGTGCGGAGAACCCCAGAGACGCAGAAGGAACAGAGCTCCCCACCTTCCCCACGGCGTCCACTTCCCAGGCCGTTTCCTTTGGAGACCTGGCTGACCCTTTGCCGTTACATTATGTGAACATGCGTTCATTTATCACCAAGAGCACAACGAACAGACCCAGTTTTGCTAAAACTAGAAGGACACAGTTCCCGTGTACGGCAACGGAAAAGTTCACGCACGGAGCCGGCTAGCTCGTGGCCTTGTGGTCTAAGTGGCCCCCGGGGCTGTCACCCTGTGCGCCGTCCACGGCTTCGCCCCGCGCGGCCGGGGGTGCCTAACCCAGTTCGGGGCTCACCAGGGCCCGTGTGACCTAGTCCGTGGCGTTTACTCTTTCAGAGGCGCTTTCCCTGCGGCGGGAAAACCCCGCGGATTGTCACTGGGAAGCGAACCCGACAAACCGACGGAGCTCCCGCGGAGGCAGCGCCGCAGCGCCTGTCCTCCGTGCGGTCCGCACTGGGTCGTGGCTTCCTACATTGACCCGATCGCAGGCCCAGGAGGGCGTGACCTTGCAGGAAGTGCCCTTTGCCCCAGATCTTCCAGCCCCGGAATTCCTGGAGGAGCCCCTGCCCGGTGGGCGCCGCCTCCTCCTCGGAGAGCCCGCATCGAGGGTCCCAACGCCCCCCACGGTTGGGCGGGCGCGCGGGGCCGCACGCGCGGGAGGCCTCTCCCGCTCGGGGTTGAGGCGCCGGTGCTCCGCCTACTTTTACCCCACCCGCCCGCCAGGTCCAGAAGGGAGAGTGCTGCCCAGGCCTGGACCTTCCCGGTTCCCGACCGCTGCCCCGCCCCAGGGAGCCGATCTGCGCTGCCTTCCGGCTCTTCCCGGACGCACACTGACTGACTGACTGACCGACCGACTGAGGTCAGGTTCTGAATCAGTTTCAGATCTCCTGGAATCTGGCCCCGACATCCGAATAATAGAAACCTAGCTTGAAGATCATCTCCACGAAGCCAAGTATCAGGGAGAAATCTTTTTTTAAAAAATTGTTTTTATCAGTACGTGCTTGCAGTACATAATGATTACAGTGGCTGTAGGGAATTGGTACATGTACGCAACACATTTCAATCATTTTTTCCTTTCCTTTCACCCTCTTTTATTTTTCCAGCATCAGATTCACTTATTTATCTTAGGCCTTATAAAGTTAATTAGCGCGCGCGCGCGTGTGTGTGTGTGATTTATACAGATTAAAAACCTAGCGAGTAAACCAAAGAACACATAAAACCTGTACAACGATTGCGCTAGGTCAGAAAGCACTTTTAGATGCGTTGTCCACGCTGGATGATGATACCTTTTTTCAGACTGTATAAATCTTTCACCTTTTTGAAAAGCCCCCGAGTGTTGTGCGAGTACAGCGCCGGGCACAGAGGAGAAGTGAGCGATAAAGCTCACACTCCAGCTCCCGGGGTTCCCACAAGGGTGGCTGAGGAGGAGCGGGCGCGTTGGGGCGCAGTCAGCAGGCGGTCCCAGGCGTCTCTCCTGTCCTGTCACAGAACAAATTCCCGCGGAGCATCGCCGTGTGCGCAGTGCTGTTCTGGGGGTTAAGACTAAGCGGTGAAGACCCCGCCTGGTGGGGTTAGGGTGTCAGGGAAAGGAGCAGCCTCCCGCCTAGAGAGAGGTGTGGTCCGAAAGACGAAAGAACCTGCAGCGCCGGAAAGCTAAGGAGAGCTCCTAGGGTGACGGGGAGACCCTCCTGGTAGGTGCAGCGTGTGCGTCTCATTACGTTTTGCAGCGGGGGCGGGGGCCACCACTGTTGTAAAAGCCATTTCAGAAGAGAGAGGTGGAGGCTGGATCCTAACTAGAATGCGTTCAGCAGCAAATGCAAGCTGATCCTTTGGGGATAGTCCATACAGACAGACAGTGTGAGCAGAGGCAGAAGTAGAGTTCAAAGATATTTATTTTATGTTTTGCAGGGGAAATAGTAACAGGTTTATATGCTGGTGAGAATAACCCAGGAAAGAAAAGGAAAAGCAGAAGGCATCTGCTGAGACGAGAACGGGTAGGAAGGCTTAGTGTCCTCTGGACTCTGCCTTCAGTTGTGTACAGACGGCTGAAGGTGCTCAGCTCTGCCACAGGGCGTCTCATCTCCCTGACCTGAACCCACAGCCCCACCTTCCCAAGACCTTCTTCCCTCTTTCTGGAACCCAGGGCTCTCGGGTGGGAAGCATGGAAGGTACATTTTCTGTGAATTCTTCTGACACTTCAAGACCCACCTTTTCCAATAGAGCAACGCTTGGCCCCTGGGCAACCGAAATGTAGTTACTCTGAATTGATATGGGCGAGCTTAAAATCAACACCCAATTTTGAAGACTTGACATGATAGAAAGACTGTAGAGTATCTCAAAAATTTTCATCCTGATTGTTTAGTTGACACAGCTAGGTTGTGTTATATATTAAACTAATTATTCAAATTAAGTCAACCTGTTTCCATTTATTTTCTTAGGGTAGCTACCAGAAAACTTTTAAAATTACACATGTGGTTCATATTATATTTCTACTGGATGGTGCTATTCTAGACCCTTTAAGGTCTTAAAAACCTCTCCCCCTTTTCAGCAGTTCTCATCTTTTAGTTTTTCTCTCTACATTAACATGACGTCTTAACAAGGCCACAAAGGTAGAGTTGGCTTGCTTACCTTTCAGACTTCATTCTTTTTTTTTTTTTTGTCTTTTTGAGACAGGGTCTTGCTATGCAGTCCAGGCTGGTCTTGGGCTCACTATGTAGCCCAGGCTGGTCTTGAACTCGCAAAAATCCTCCTGCCTCAGTCCCCCGAGGGCTGGGATTACAGGAGTGCGCCACCACACCTGGCCAGACTTCATTCTTAGAATGAAGTTCTAGAAATCATTTGATCAATGATTTCTAGCCACATCTTCTTCTCAAAGCAGCCAAATCCCTTCTCCTCTCTTTAAAAGGTTTCATAGAAAGTACAGTGAATGCTGCTGTTGAGTGCCACCCCGCAGAGAAGTGGGCTCATACAAACGACAGTGTCCTCACCCACCTTTCTCACTGCGTCTGGCCCCTTGTGACGTCTGGCTCTTCCCCGAAGTCAAACTGACCAGGACACTGAGGCAGCCACAACAGCACCACTAAAGATGCTCATGAAAGAGGACTTCCAGAGCTGCTGCAGAAAGCGGCCAGGACGGTGGGCTAAATGTATTTGCAACAAGGGGGAGTATTTTGAGGGAGCTTCGTGGCAATGTCTTTTACTTTAGTAACTTTAAAAAAAACTTAAACATACACCATATTTTTCAATCACACCTTGTAGGTTTTGCTTTGGAGTTAGCAAGATACAACACACACAAAATATAAGGTTTTCACAAAACATAACAGCATATTTCAAATTGATAAAAATACAACTTTCATCACATAAAAACATTCTACACTTTTGTTCCATTCCACCAATTTTCTAAGTTTTTGATGTCACAATTTTCATCTTTTTATAGGGTGTATCCTTTAACAAATGATTGTAGTATTATTTTTAAAATGTTTTGTCTTTTGACATTACTACTTCAGATGTGATTTATGCTCCATCAATACAGTAGTAACTATTTTGAGTTTGACTGTGCACTTAATTTTAACAGTGAATTTCATGTATATTTGTGTTACTAATTAGAATCCTGTTCTTTAGGTTGGAATAATTCCCTTTAACTTTTGTTGTAGAACAGTAAGGGGGTGATTAACACCCTTATCTTTAATTTTTCTGGGAATCCTGCATTTCTGAAAGTCAGCTCCACAGGATCACGTGTTTTGGGTTGGGGTTGTTTTTCATCATTTGTGTCATCATCCTCTGACCTGGCTTGTTCCCTTTCTGCTGGGAAGTCTGCTATTATCTTTGCTCAGACTCCCTTTTATGTGACACGCATCCTTTTTGGTGCTTTTAGGCTCCTGTTTTTGCTTTTTTACATTTTAGTTGCATTCAGGTGTCACCTTATTTGGGTTGAATCTGAGTATTAGTGAGTTTCTTACACCTGGACATTTAGATATTTTCTCTAGATTTAAAAAATAATTTGGCTATTTTTTTAAAAATAAGCTTTCAGCCTTGGTCTGTGTCTTCTCTCATAATCTGAACATTTCTTCTCTTGCTACTGTCTTATAAGCCTTGCATGCTTCAGTATTTTTCTTTTTTTCTCCCCTGACTGTATATTTTCAAATAACCTAGTACCAGCTTTCCAGATATATATTATTTTCTGGTTGATCAATTCTGTTGGTGCTTTTTCTTTTTCTGTCTTTTTTTAGACAGGGTTTTACTGAGGTTTAAGCTGGCCTTGAACTCACTTTGTAGCCAAGCCTGGCCTCAAACTTGGAGTAATCTTTCTGCCTCTGCCTCCCAAGTACTGGGATTACAGGTGTGTGTCACCTTGCCTGGCTTGTTTTTTTTTTCCTCCGGTACCGGGAACCGAACTCACGACCTTGTGCTTGCCAGGCAGGCACTTTTGCCACTGAGCTAAATCCCCAGCCCCTGCCTGGCTTGTTGGTGTGTGCATTTTTACCTCCAAATTAAAAAAACTGAATTGTCTCAGTTAATTTTCCCATTTTAGTTATTTATTGTTTCTATGTAATTTCTTGGGGTATGCGGAGCTTCTTTAGAGCAATTCTTTTGAATTCTCTGGTAGGTTGTTCAGCTCCACTTCTTTGGGGTCGGCCAATGGGGAGTATTGGGTTCTTCTAGGGGTGAAATGTTTCCTTCACGTCTCTTACGTGCTGCCTTAGGCTGGAATCTGTGTATTGGTGCAGCTGTCGGCTCTTCTAGACTTTAAGAGCCCATTTTGGTGGTGTTTCATCGCACTCTGAATATGTTATCCTGCTCTCGTCCAGCCTGTGGGGCTCCTGCGAAGTCTGTGGTGGTGGTGGTGGTTCTCCTCCTCTCTTCCTGCATTCAGGACCCACTGCGTCCTTTGACTTCTGATTCCTTAGGTCATGGGCCAGTTTTATTTGCACTGAATCTGGTTGGAGACACAACTTTCTGTAGCTGAGTACCATACCCCAGTCTTAGAGCTTACTGTTTCCTTAAGGACTCTTCCGTCCTGTTTTATCCTTTCTGACCTGAACCCCAGTGACGGAAGTATTTGCTTTTGGTGCAGTAGCACAAATCCCATAATCTTCATTCCTTTTCATTTTTCTCCTCTGTAATGACCTCCTGCCTTCAAGTTCGCAGATGATATTTTCTACGTGATCAAGTTCTGCTGACAGCCACTTGCTATGGCATTATATTTCACTGTTTAATTATCTGCAAAATTTTTATTTCATTACTTCAGTGTTTAAGTTTTCTGATCCTCTCTTTGGATCACTGCTCCCTATTTTCTTGAAGTTTGCTGAGGTGTTTTAGAACAGTTATTTGGAATTCTTCCTCATGCTGTTCACACATATACATCTCTTTAGGGTCTGCCACTGGCACACTCTTCTGTTCCTCCGGTGATGTCTTATGTCCTTGATTGTCCTTGGTCTTTGGGGTGATGATCTATGCACTAGCAGCAGTTATTGCAGCCTGGTGCACCGTCTCTGTCTGGAAGTGCTCTTCAAATGTCATCCTGACCAGAGCTTCCTGGAAGTCTCTCTGGCGTGGTTCTTATGCCTTGGTCCGCTGTGGCCACTGTAGCACTGAGGGATGTCTTAAGCCTGAGTCCAGACTGTGCCAGTGCAGTGCCGGGGGAAATCCCTGGGCCACTGAAGCTGGTGGTGCTGGGTGCGTCCGAAGCACTGGGCTGCCGAGGCCCATCTGCCTCTGAGGTCCGCCCGAAGTCTGTAGCTGCTGCAGTTTGCGGCTAGTGTTATGCAGTGTAAATTGAGTCCACGTTGCAGCGGCTACTGGTTATTTCCTGGTGCTCGGGCTGACCTGCAGTCTCCATCCACAAGTACTCATCTTAGGGCAGGGCTCACGACTGCCTTCTCAGGCTTAGCGTTGGAGTCCAAGGCAAAGTCTTGTGCATATTTCTCTCTTCTTCATCCATAGTGGGCAGTATTTTTGGACACACCGTACTGCCTAAGGTTGGGGGACAGCTGACCCAGTAAATTTGAAACTGTCTTCCCTACTCCCTTCGATGTGGCTTTTGTTTTTATGCCGTCATCAGGTGCTGTGTTCTTTTACCTGGTTTCCTTAGCCTTTGTGAAGGTATTTTGTGCAGAGACAGTTGTTCAAGTTGATGTTTCTGTGGGGATATGGGCCTCCCTGGATTGTTCTGCCATCTCATTCTGCCCTCCCCTTCCCACATTTCTGACGAGCTAATCCTTGTATTTGAAATGTCTTCCCACCTTTGACAAATGATGGATCAAAGCCACACCAGAAAAAATCAGGCCTGTGAGCTTATTCGACCTACTAGGCCAACAGATACTGCTACTCTCTCACTTGGACCATATTTTTCAATCTGCTTCATAAACTACTAATCCCCTACTCACAGGTTGTATAAAGCATTGTCACTTTTATTTCACAAAAGCAGCATTGTCTCTTCTGTCTTATTTTTATTCTTTCACACTCCTGCTAATTAATGCATCCCATAGGCTTGATTTGGTACTTGTTTCCTCCCCAAAACAAAAATGTGTCATTAGGTGTCTTACTAATCTTTGATGCTCCAGAATTGAATGTATTCACTGGCACACAGTAGACACTGAAAAAATGAGCTAAACACTGAAATTTGTGGAATCAAAAAATCTTAACGGTAGTTGACAACAATTGGTGAAACATTTTGACAGACAGTAGAATAAAAAAAAACAAACCACCCTACCAACAATCCCAAAAGCAAAAACCAAAACAAAACCCAGTAGCACGATTAAAAGGAAGCCGTATCTATTTGATGGCATGATAATATCACTAAGGAAAGCTGAAGCAGTGTTCCACATTAGAAGAGAGACTAAACTCGATTAAGAACAGGTACCTGGGAAATTCTTACTGTGCAAAGAAAGTTTGCTTTGACAAGTAATTGGACAGATGATGTACACCATGATAAGTGGGAAGCTGGGGAGTGAAAGAGGAAGAAAGACAGCAGAGAATTCCAGGGAAGACAGGAAGTTTAATGAGGAGAGGTGAAAGTCAAGGAACAAGGAGGGACTCTGATTTGGTGGCCTTTGTCATACTGTGTTAGTGGAGAAGCTAGTTCACTTGACAAGCTCGGTGTGAAATACGATTTTTACTCATAGGAACACACTACTTTCTCGTGATTTATACAATATCACACTTGAAGTCTCTATAGCCTACACACTAGCAAAAAAATGTGTTTTAGAGTCTTTTATAAAAGCTTTTGTGGAATGTTGAGAGCTATTCATACTAGGTAGATAACAAATCCTCCCTTGAAATAATCTCACCCCTAGACAGGAGAAAGCTTTACTCTCGGAGTCTAGAAAAGTGTGTATAGAAATTTCTTGAATGTTGATGAGAAAAATTCAACTTGTTCCATATTTTCTTTTGCACAAAATCTGCAGGTTCGGTGGCAGATTTTTTTATACTGAAATATCATAGCACCCGCATCAGGTATCGGCATCGGTGAAAATCTCACATTTCTAAGGTTTCAAAAAGCAGTTTCAGTCTCCTCTGTGGCAGATGTGGAAACAGCGCCGTGTCCTCGATTCTGGGAAAAAAATGAACTTCTTAGCAATCGTATTTTAGAAATATACAGTGCATCGATGTTTTAGAGTGAGACTTTAAAGTTTCTTGCCCCTGTTTCGGTTGCATTCCCACCTTAGCCTTCTTTCTT